TTTTTTTTTTTTTTTTTTTTTTTTTTTTTTTTTTTTTTTTAGAACGGTAAATGCCGTGCCGTGTTTACAGGATTGTTTAGATTCTCGTATCTCGATAAGATGTCACGACTCGATACGATTTATCTGATAAACATCGATATTGTTACAGGGAAATTAAGGCACAATTCGAGAAACGATATATTCGAAGGAAATCAAGACATGCTGAAAGAAAGAGGTAAATTGTCTCAGATACGCTCGTGTATTTCGCAAACAACTCGTCTCTATAACGATTATCACTATTAATTACATACGTTTGATATTATACGATATATCGGATGAGATATACATATACACGTGTATATACTCGTATCTCGTTTGTATCTGCTATAAAGCTAATAACAGTGGAAATACTTGTTTCTCTTTCTACCTTGAGAGAAATGAGAAGAACGACGTTTCATTCGGTTCTACGAATAAATGTTGTTCTTTTCGTTAATGTTAATGAATCTAATTAAGAAAATAACGTATCGTTATGTTGCTGGCAATTATATCGTATTCAAAGACTCTGGTGTACGCGTTCTCTTCGATATTTTCGAATTTTCTCATTTTTGAAGCAAAGACGCGTTTCTTCTCTGAATCGGATAACAAATCGGTAACAAATAAAATAAACAAATGAAATAAACGAAACACCTTGCGTTAAACTATTTTCATCGAATCAATTTGTACACGCCGCCGTAAGAGTATCGTGATTTCCTCTTGCAGATCTAAAGTTACGAGGCCGCAAAGAAACCAGCGGAAACGAAGAGGATGATTACGAAGATTCGGCTGCGGCGTCGAACAAGGACTCTTTCAGCTTGATTTTCGCTTTGGTCACATTCACCATTTACCTCTACCATCATCCGCAGTTAAGAACGCTACATCCGGCTTGAAGAGCGGCCCCCACCGTGCCATTATCATCAGATCCTTCTTTCGATCGCCACCCATCGACAATTTGTAAATCCACTTAAAAATCCATCGCTCAGGGACTCCATACCGAGGATAAATTAAATCGTGAAATCGCGCTGACCACCCATCACACCTGTATTATAAGACGACATACTCTATTATGATTAGTATCATTATTATTCTGTAACGATATTAGCTGTCGTAAGTTATTCGTAAACCGTAATCGCGTAGATTAAGCGGATGAAAAAATTCTTTTATCACGGAGAACGTCACGTAGCGAGCAATAAGTAAGGGAACACGAGAAGATCCTGTGCTGGAATTGAATTTACAGATGCGTTGTGTAGCGGACCTGGATCATGCTCAATGGTACGCTATACTTCGAGATAGTAGCCAATGTCAAATTTCGTTCGTAGTTTTCGCGTAGTCAGTTGCGTTAACGTTTTGCAACGAGATTAAGATCGTGGTAGCCGTTCTTCGATGAACATCTTCGATACATCTTCGATGTTTCACGCGATTAAATTAGAAAACTTTGTTTAATTCATCTTTATGTTTCTCTAGTCAGACGTTAGTACTTTTAGTACTCTTTCTTATGTTCTTCGCGGTGTAGACAGACGCGGTAAAGATAATCGAACAAAGGAAAACGAAGATAATAATAAAGTAAGAGATATACAGAGTCACATAGATTTTTTCGCAGAGCGTGTCTAAAATGTTCACAGGGGAAGTTTCTGTCTAAAATTTCGAAACTATCTACTACGATTATACTTCGAAAGAAGGAATTACAATATATAGCGCTTTACTTTTACTCTTCTTTACAAATATCTAATTTTTACCTCCATCTGTTGCGTAAAGTTATATCCCTTGTGACAACGATATCGCAAACTTTTTATCGCTGCGTAATAAAAAAAGAACGTTAAGTTACGATAGATCAAACTTTTCGTTTCCGTCGTTTAGTCTCGAGGAAGATCGATAACATATAGAAATCTGGTATAATCGATTTTGCGAATACGTAATAACGAGCGCACGACAACTAGCACCAACAGCCTCGGTGGAAGCCTCCAGTGATTCGTATTTATACCAAGGACAATGTGTATCGAACGAAACGATTATCGATATGCATTCGTGTATATATACATATACATATACATATACATATACATATACATATACATATGCATATGCATATACGACCGCATATTATATATAAAGTATTATAATATGGCCCATGTATTTGTATAGGTAATCGTATATTCGTATATATGTATATAATATAATTGTATGTAGTACGTTAGATATAGTATTATCCAAAGACTGAGAGCATCGTTTCGACGCTCTTGAACTGCATTAAATAATTAAATAACGAAGGATGGCCGAAACTAAATCACACCTCGCGTGACCCGTAAAAATCATGGATCAATCGAAGATGGAATCTCTCTGTGAAACAGCGCGCAGAAAAAACTGTACAGTCCCTCAATTGTAATTTCTCGAGCCATCCGTGAAAGTTGTGTAAGAAGATCGCAATTTTTTTTTCGCGAAGAAAAAAAATTTCTTTACAGTTAGGTAGGATTAACTAAAATTTGAAACAGTCGATGTCGGGTGAAAAAAATTACGGAGGCACGTCCCACCTAAACTTTTCCCTTATTTTGAACGTTGAAATTATTATGAATAATTTCGTTTTTACAAATAATAACAATGAGTTTTCTCGATGACTGAAGACGATTAATTTACTAAATGACGTGTCAAAGAATTGCGATTGGTTGGAATCGCGAAGAAAATAGTAAGATGGCTTTTTACAACTTTTCAGCTTCAGCTCGTAACGACAATTTGAACAATACGTTTTCTAGCCTTATGTCAGTTATACTTTTACGTACGTACACGTTGAAAATTTCATCGAAATCGGTTGTTACGATCTACGAACGGTTAAACATCATGTTGAAAATTGCAATTTTTCACAACGATCGATCTGTAACTGTAGCAAATCTAAAGATCCTTGCGTCTTTCGACCTTTCCATGTCTGTCGCTTATTTCCGCATCGATCGATTGCCATGAAACTATGCAATATCTATGTAACCGACATAAATCTACAAAATGTATCGTTTAATTTTTCATTACAAGCTCGGTTAAGAAAGTTGTAAAAAAAGACTTGTACTATTTTCTTTCCGATCCCGGTCAATTCCAATTTTTTCAAAAATTGTTTACGCGTCATCTGGCAAACTAATCCTTTCGCCAATTCTTTTACGAACATTCCAATCGACTTCGAGTCGAATTTTAAAAGGTTACTCTGTTTTAGACGGTGCCCGAATATTTACGTGGCCGGCCGTGAATACGTTACGAAGCACACTTCATACGAGAAGTTGTTCGCTATCGTTACACGAGAAGCAGCGATTGGAAATCTGTTTCGCAAATCCGATTTCTCAAAAAATTCTCAAACAACATTCCAAATCGGTATCATGTTTTAAAATGGTACGAATAATTGGCAGACGATAACTATGAGATTAAATAATGGAAAAACGAAATTTTCCATTTCCATTGGCAGCATCTACATATTGTTCGCTATTCGATGCAGACTTGAACAATTTCAAAGATATACGCTATATACATATACATATTTACGTCAAATTTTTGTAACAACGGGGACATTAAGCAGTCTCGAATAACAAAAAAAAAAAAAGAAACGCCATTAACTTTACTATATAGTCTATAAATGTAATACGAGTGGAATGTAAATTGAAACTTATAGATTTAATTAAGCGATACACTAACATAGAGATTTTATTAAAATGTACGAAAGAGCGTGAAGCTTATAGGCTTTAGAATTAAAACACATTTAAATACAAAGATTATAGATGTATGTACTTAGAATACGTCGAAACTGAATGCATATACCGGTATAATGATTACATTAGTAGGTAAATAGAAAAGTTTGTTTATATTCACGCATCATAAAACGTCGATAGATATCTGAGAAAGTTTATCCGTTACGTGATACGACAAAATAATGTCGAAAAATATTTGTAAAATCAGAAAAATTTGTTCCCTATTTATGGAAATGTGCAACGTGTTTCGGAAATAAAAAGAATTATTTCTTTTGACGAAATACGAAACACGTTTAAAAAGTCCTTCGACAATACTTGGATTATTTACTATACGTTTGTCGTAGCTCAAGGACCAAAGGTTTATGGTAATTTTAAAACGAGTATTTCTTAATGCTAAATACGAGATTTCTTTCGTCTTTTATTTCAAACTCGAACATCTTGCATAAATAAATTACAAAGTGGAATTTTCGCACTGTGTACTTATCGGTTTTCTTGTATTTCGAACGTATAACGAAGGTACGACAGGTAAAATAACTGTAAACCGAACGTACTAAAATTCGATCCGACGTGTTAAGAAAACCTATTAACGACTTACGTGAAAATTCGTTGTTACGTCGAAAAGCGATCGTCGTCATCTTTGTGCGTCTGCAATTTTATTTGCGAATTAATGCGACAGTAGCATGAAAATTAATCAATTTTTCGAAATAAACAATGTTTTAACGTTTTAACGACGCTAGTTGAAAAATATACAGTTGCTCGCGAAGGTATAAACACGTTATAGGCATTGTACAAAACTTTCCGAAATTTCATTAGTACTGCAACGAGACATCGTTACCGTGACAACTACTACCGTGTGGGTAAGACTCGTAAGAGCTACAAGACGTTTATCGCGAGCATACGCTTAATAAAGAACTAGTAGTAAATAATAGCATAAGTAAATCGTCTGAAACATGTAATTAACGCTAAAAATGATCTTACCGAACGTTGCGCGATATTAATACAAAGAATAATTGACTGTGTTCAGACGGTTTGCTGATCTGTATGAAGCTTGCGTATGCTTGCATCAAATATCTTGTAATCTCCATCGTATCGTATACCTTCAAATTCGTTTCAAATTTGACCAATATACTCGTAGTCACGACGGTCGAGCCTCGTTACATCGCTGATGAAATTTCCAAATATTTTCCTCCTACATCTTCACCTACACCGTGTAACACATAATACATCGATGAAAAGATTCTACGAGCGTACAAAATACTTTCGTGAGCCACTCTACATACACGAGTTCCATGCGTTGAGCCTGTTTAGAGATAGAAACACTTTAACTTTGGCAAGTAATCCTTTATCGTCACTTACTCACTGCATACTTTTAGATGATTGAAACAAAGGTCTATAGTTTTTCATACACATATAGTTTTTCTCGACATAACGGTTCTACGTTTCGCATATTATGTACATACGATTTTCACTGGTCGAGCGACCACGTGTTTATGAATCGGACGATCGATCGTTTTGCGTTCGATACATCAGTTCGTAAACGCAACGTACTCGGAAAGAAGGAGGGGAAGAAAAAGAAAGCTGATTATGGGATTTTAACGATCAACGTAAAAAATAATATTAGAAGGATCGCGAGACAGGATAAAAGGATCGTTGGTAATGTCACGGACAATGTGGTATTCCGCTTTGAGATTCTCCGCAGATGCATTCTACAGCGATCGTAAAAGAACCGAGGGGAAACGAATTTACAATCTTTTTATTATCCAACGACGCGAAACATATCCGAACGCGCGAACGTTTCCTTAAAACTATTACCTTTTATTCGATAATTCTCGGAGAATACATTATTTTCATCCTTACGAAGTTATCGATAAATATGTTTATCGGTTGCGCGCTTGATATAATTATCGCTTGACAATTCTGTGTTATGCGTTAAAATTTCCTATCAAAATAATCAACGTGTTTTTAGCTTAGTCTTCTCGTTTATTTGCTTTAAGTTAATTTTCAAATGTAATTTTAAATCAGAATACAAGAATTTTCGACGATCAAATAAACGAGTAAATTTTGCAAACAACAAATGCGGTGTGAAACGCGCTAGACGACTAAACTAATTACATGACGTTAACCAATTGTGAGAGTAAGAATTATTACAGAACGTTAGATAAAACATTTCATTAAACTCTAATTTATCACGCCACTTTTATTCGTAATTCATTTCTAATGTGAAATTCTGTTAACGAATATTTGTATCTCTTGTGTGTAAATATTCAAGACGTCCGACGGATAAATATCTGTGGAAAATCATGATATTAAGCACTTAGACACGATTCGTTGTCCAATTGTATAGCATTTAACGTTCGAGTAGCAGATTTTAACGAAGAATGTCCACCAGAACATATCAAATGTCCGTGTTCTTTCTTGTTCAATTATAAGAAACCGTTGTTAGAAAAGTCAATTATCATCTGTCTTTCGTTACGTTTTAACTAATAGGCATTCGTGCAGTTCCACCTTTCAAATAGTTTGCTTTCACAGCATAATAATGTAAATTATGTAAAAAGTTACTTGACGCCATACGTATCTAGCAAATAATTGGCTATACGTTCAAAAATGTCGAAACCGATTCCACAATTTATTCCTCGTACCAATTGCAAAATACATTGAACCGATCTGTCGCGACGACCAAAAAATGTCTATTTTATATCACATAAACGTGCATTAGTAGAACTAACAACGATTCACTGAATATTCAAGACGTTTAAGCAAGCTACGGAACTGTAAACGTTCGTAATGCAAACTAAAAGGAATAAAATATGTTCGATCGATATAGATACTAAAACCAATATTTTCGGTGTGAAAATCTAATTTTTTATTTGCCTGTGTATAATGCTTAAACAGTACGGTTGAATTACGAAAGTAATCGAAAAACATACGTATGTTGGATACTGCCGAATAAGGAAAATCTACTTACATATTGATGAATTCATGATTCGCAAATGCGAACATTATATCCAAAGGAGAGAGGATGATGCTCGAAACAAAGTATTACGCCTTATATAATCTTAATTGATGCGATATAACGATATTGTATCTCGTACGTTGATTTAATATGTCGT